TTTTTTTTTTTTTTTTTTTTTTTTTTTTTTTTTGCAAGTATATTAATTATTTGTGTAAAACAAAAAAAAGAAATAAGCATTGAAAACCAAATAGATTTATGAGTTGTTGCAAAAAGAAAAGTCAACACTTTTTGATGTTTTCATATCAACTTGCAGTTAGTTTTGTTTTGAAAAACCGCATTAAAACAAAGTTTAAAAAAAGCTGTAGAAAAAGTACTTGAAAAAATATAATAAAATAAATTATTTATTTATAATAAAAAAAAACTTTTTTTTTTGAAATTTAAAAATCTATATCTTTTCTATAATTTTTTAAACAAAAAATTAAAAGCTATAATCAGCGTAAAAAACGGCGAGGAAAAACAAAAGGTATAATAATGAGTGGAAGAAACAGAAAATGAAACGATTTCAAGTATTCATTGATTAACAAAAAATGTACTACAAAAGTATACTGTATGTTTTATTTGTAATTGCTGTTTAACTTTACTGCTCTGACTAATATTGCTGTAATACTGAAAATTAATCCTTCTAAACGATATTAGTGAAATAGCCTATCAAAATGTGATAAGGCGTATTAATCGGTTTAATTCAATGCTAAAATGGTCGCTCAGACGGACTTAACTGCCCAAAAAGTTACGTCCTTTTGTCAACAACCAACGAAACTGACTGATATCACTGTCGCCTTATTCACCGCTTATCATCTCTTAACACTGCAACACTGCTATTGTTGTTTCTCAATTGGCTTTTGCCAAAACCGAGGCTAACACCAAAACTTATAATAAGCTTTAAAACAAAACAAATAAAAAAATTTTATAATTAAAAAAAAAAGGGGTGTACGTAAATAAAGGTCAATTTTTTCTCCAATAAAATCTGCTAGCAAAATTTTTTTAAATTTTTTTTAAATAAAATATTACGTGCTTTCCTGCCCTAAATTTTATCACTTTTAAAATAAGTTTAAAAAGCTATAAAAAGACAATAAAAAAAAAGCAAAAATTTCAAGTAATGTAAAATTTGATGCTAAACATTTAATAGTTTTTTTTCATAACATAGTAAGCTCAAAAACAGAAAGAAAGAAGAGGAAACACAAGACTAATGAAAGATAGCAGAAGAAGACGACAACGATGACTATAACGAGGAAGAAGAAAAAGAAATAATTAACCAACCAATAATAATAAATTAACCGATCAAGACTTTTGTTACTTGAAAAAAAAAGTAAGTAAAAATTGTTAAAAGAAAATCATCAAAAAAAAAAGAGTGACGAAACTGAAGCCAAATAAATGTCTTCAAAAA